TCTGCTCCTGCACTCCTGGGAGGAACACATGTGCAATGAACTTGGGCAGGTCTCAGGCAGAAGGAAGGCATTACCCTGCTGATGCCAGTGGTGCCCCTTTCCCTTGCAGGCCGCTTCCTGGATGAGCGGGGCCAGCACATCCATTCGCCCTCACCCAGCTACCTCCCCTTTGGAGCTGGGATCCGTGTCTGCCTGGGAAAAGTTCTGGCCAAGATGGAGCTCTTCCTCTTCCTGGCCTGGGTGCTGCAGAGGTTCACACTCGAGTGCCCTGAGGACCAGCCCCTGCCCTCGCTGGAGGGCAAGTTTGGTGTGGTGCTGCAGGTGCAGAAGTTTCAGGTGAAGGCCAGGCTGAGGGAGGCCTGGAGAGTGGCCTCATGATGGAGAGGAGCCCTGGATCCCAGGCAGGGGGGTTGGGGGGTGGGACCACAGAGGCTGCCCCGTGGCTGGGGGGTTGTCCAGATAAAGCTATTCCCAACACAGCATGGCTCCAGCTATTTTTTTGGGCAGGAGATGAAGGGCAGGGTTAAGTGTGAGATGTATGGTGACCCCACAACTTGCTGGGAGCACTGTGCTCAGCTGGGAGCCTGTGGCCTCTCTGCAGCAGCATGGCAGCTCCTGCCTGTTCACTGTCCTGAGCACTCACTGTCTGGCTGGATTTTGGCAATCGCTCCAGCAGCAGCAGCAGCAGCACAACCTTCCTGTAACGCAAGGGGCCGTGTTTGCTTTGCTTTTGCCAAAAACTACTGTGCCATGGAGGGCAGCGTGTAATTAGGTTTCTGGTTCTCTATTACTTGACCTCTTAATATTTAACTAAATAGTTGCACAGCTATGGCTCAGGGCCCCTGGAGGGAAAGCAGCCAAGGCAGAGGGGAAAGCCCCACAGAGCCCAAGCACAATTTGACACCTCAGCCCTGCACATCCCCTCATTTTTTCCCTACCCTCTCTCTTGCTAGCAGGCAGGAAAACAGACATAAACTTCCCCACCACTGAACCTCCTGCTCAGTGTGTATGAATTATTTCAAACCCCCAGCACCTGGCTTTCATGCAGCCCCTTCACACCAGCATCCGATGCCAAACGGGTCCTGTCAGCCTGTGGCATGAAGGTGATGATGATGGCACTGCATTTGCAGCCTGGCACAGCACCGGGAGCATCCTCCCCCCTCCCGGTCCATTTCCCTGGGGACTCAGGGTGGTAGGGAGGAGCTGGAGGAAGAACTGCCACGCACATACCTGTCCCAAGGGCAATCCCCAAGCTAATTTGAGCAGCTGACCCACCAAAAGCTGGGCAGAGGGAGCACAGCAGGAGCCCAGCCTCACTGCTGCTGCACAGAGTCTCTGATGGCTTCTAAGGGCTGGACGCCACATACCTTCCTGCTTTCCTGCCTGTTTCCATCACACCAGGGGTGCCACTGGGTGTCCAATCCCTCCACTTCTGCTACAACACACGGAAACTGTATGGGTGAAGGGGGACGGGACTAAGAATGGGCTTTGGGAAAACATGATGCTCTGGGCTTCCCTGGGGATTGGGACCTCCATGCAACCTTGTCCTTCCCCTGCCCCAGATCCTGTCAGTTGCAGGAAGGCTCCACTCCAGTCTCCTGTCGCATTGTGATGCCTCCAGGAGCATCAACAGGACCTCCAGCACATTTGTGCCCCTTTGCCAAGCCATTTGATTTTGCTCTTGGTAAGGGAATCAACAGAATCAACACAGGGCTGACACCTTGCTGTTTGCCAATGCACTCACACAAGTGCTAACAACCAGCATGCACCTTGGGACAGAAATGGGACCTTTGAAACAGGGATGTTTCCAACCTGGAGAATGTCTCCAGCCACAGCCTCTTGCAATCCACTTTCCCCATTTCCAGGGCTGGTATGTGCTGTCCTGTGCTGGGGGACCAGCATGTGCTGCAAATCTCAGCACCCCAAGCTAGGCCCTGCTGCAGGGTGTCTTGCCCCCCATTCAGCCCACCTCCTCCCTGCGGGGAGAAGATGCTGCTGGGCAGATTCAGTGCTCAGAACCAGCTGCCTGGCACTTAGTGAGCTGGTAAACAGCCCCCGGCATAGCTGCTCCCTGCTCTGGGATCGGGCAGAGGCACTGCTGAATCACCCGGCTGGTATTTCTATCCTGACAGCTGCTCCGGGGCTGTGCTGCTGCACCCAAACCTCTGGCTCCACCAGAAAGCTTCACCTGGGCCACTGGCTCCAGCTCCCTGAGGAAAAGGGGGTCTGTAAGGGCGGAATACACTATGAAGCAGATGTGCAGCTTGCTGAGGGCACTGGGCAGAGCAAGCCTGAGCCTTTCCATGGCACAAATTCATTTTGAGGGGCGCAGCCACCCCCATAGCTCTTGGCTGACCCAGCTGCGCCACAGGGTTCAGCTCAGAAGGCCTCCAAGTTTGAGGCTTCTCTTTGCACCAGACACCAGCTGACCCTGGGCTGTGCCGGAGAGTGACGGCCAGCCCAGCAGGAGACGCTTGGAATACCTGCGGGCTCTGCAGCGGGCATGGTGCCGGGAGAGCTGAGTAAGCACAGACCTCAGGACACAGCTGTTTGCTGGTCGAAAACAAACCGAGAAAGAAGCCGGCAGCTTGTGACCCCCCCGGCACAGAGACTGCAGCGCTTGCACCACCGTCGCGACGGCCCCGCAGCGGGCACCCATCCCATCTGATAAAAACAGATCTGTGCTGCAAGGATGGGGGAACCAGCTCTGACGAACAGGCAACTCATCCTGGCCTTCCCAAGCTGCCCACTGTGGGATGCTGTGGGGCTTGCTTGAGCCAGGGGCTGTTTGTCTGCACCCTCTCCCGGCCTGGTCCAGGCTTTTCCTATACAAACCAACGAAAAAAAGGAGAAAAGAGCTGCAAAAGCCTTCCTGGGATGGGTGCACAAGTGGTTGGGGGGGCCAGGAAGCAGCAGCCTTTGGGGAGTACCACATTCAGGACCAGCAAAGGAGTTTATTCACGAGAGCTGTGCCACAGCTCCCTGCCAAACTGCCGGGAGCAGGTCAGGCTGGGATGAGCCCAGCCAGGGCATGCAGAGAACCACAGGAGATACGGCTGTGGGAGCCCAGGCTGTGCAGAGCAGGAACTCAGAACCCCTGACTCACATCCCCGGGTGGTGAAGGGTGCCCAGGGAGCCCAAAACTCCCATCGCTCGGCGAACAGCCTCACCCTGGCAGTGGAGTTGCTCATTCTGCTTTTCTCCAGGCTTCCTGCCCCAGAAAGCTTTTAATGACTGTGTAACAGAGAGGCTTAACTGCACCTCGGCTTTCCTTAGCCTCCAGTTAGGCAGGCAAAGTTCTGAGAGCAGGCTGCCAGTAAGCATCAAGATACAATTCCCTCCTCCTCCATCTTCAGCTAACACCCATCCACAGGGTTGTACAAACATGCAATGATACGTGGCAGGAAGATCACACCGGTGCTTGCATCATTGCAGAGCTGCAGAGTCCCTTGGGAACATCAAGGAGATGCTGCAGTACCTACTGATCCCAGGAGCTCCCGCTGTGCCCAGGGGACGCTCTCGCTGAGCCACCACACTGTGCTCTTCACCTTCCCCAGGCAACACAAGCCCAGCCCACCAGGACACCTGCTGGGCCCTTGCCCTTGGAGCCAGTCTCAGTGGCCAAAAACATTCTGTGTAAGCAGCTCCACACTGCCATGGACTCCAGCAAAAACAGACTTCAAGGAGTACAGGCAGCCACACCTAGAGCACATTGTAAAGCAGAACACCCAGCACTAGATTGACACTAATTTGCTGTCAAACCTGCTGCGTTATTGCAACTCAGTTTTGAAATTACTTATTCATGACTCCCAATAAAACACCCCTTATAGCTGGGAATGGGGGGGGTTTGGTGCTCCAGTGCAGGAGATGCACATCTGCCTGTGTCCTCACACCTCCTGCATTTTACACAGTGTGCATTTGGAGAAGAGCTCTCTTTGGGCCATGTTGGCTTCCTACACAGGGATACATGTGAGGGTCAAGCTCCTTTCTAAAGCTCCAAAGCTGGAACTTTGAGAGTCCTCTGCCTGCCTGAAGAGGCACCAGTCAGGGTATATTCAAGGAGCTCACCTGTGCACGTCTTGCCCTGCACCACTCCTTCTCCCCATACCAGCTGACCCTTGGCTGCAGGTCTAAAATCCTGAAGCACTGAAAGCCATTAACAGTCCAGCTCCTCAGGCACTTGTGAGCTGATGAAATATGGTTTGTGCCCCACTTCTTTCTTTATGGCCTCTAAATGCCCAAAAAAACCTCCAGGAGTCATAAAAGGCACATCACTGCTTCTCCCTGACTTTTTAAAATTAGAAACATTAGCTTTGGCTTACTGGTACTTACCTTCATGTCCAGAGGATTCCCGCGCCCTTGATGTGATGGCTGGAAAGCAAATATGGAGATTCCTTGTGCCACAGAAATGTTGGCTAAGGGTTCCTCACTGACACAGGGCAATCCTCAGGACTTAGAACAGTAAACCCCATTCCTTACAGACTTATGTGACTTTTTAGCTTCCTCTGTGGTGCGAGGAACAAAACTGGGTGCCAATACGTACCGAATTCCTGGGGGTGGCACTGGGGATCTTTAAATGTCTTCTCAAAAGATGTATGTGGTCAGCATACACAGCTGGAAGTGACCAGCCCCCAGGTAGTTGGGCTCTGGGGCACACACAGCATCTCTGTTACCACTCACCCAAGTATCCAGGCTCCAGACATCCAGGAATGAGGTCTCTTGAATCCAAATCAAAGCCCTTCATGTCACAAACTGAAGAGCTGTCTTTATCAACTGTTCTGAGGGAAGAGAAAGGCTGTGATGGGCGAAGGAGATTCTTCCAAACCCTGTAAGGTAAGAGTGCTCTCCTCAAACGTGGAGGTAAAACGCTGGCATGAGCACCACTTCCCTTGCTCTGTAGCCAGCCAACACATCTCCAGGTAGAATAACAAAACAAATCCACAAACTAAAGACAGATCTTGTTCTTAGCTCACAAAATGATACACATACACATGGACAAGTTATCAGAAAAGGCATTATATTTTGGTTTCCACCTTAGTTAAAACTGATTTTGGTTTTCAATCAATCAGATCTGAGTATGTCCAAGTTCAGGTTTCAATGATTTTTTTCCCCATAACAGTAATGACTTGGACGACCACAATTATAAAATGGACGGGGAGAAATCCCGAGAACAAGTTACATAGTCTGAACTGTGCTCTCTTCCAACACGAGCACTCTAGGGAATGTTAGTTTCAGCTCTTCCTTTTTTTAAATTTTTTTCTTCCTTCAGGTTGTTACTAACAAAAATCTCTACTGTTTATTAAAGCAAAGCTACAGTAAATTTTCTTGCAGTCTTACAGCAGGTTTTCATATTACCAGTAGGACTCGCATGCATGGATTGCAGTCATACACACACGCTCACAGACATTATACAGTAGCCAGTTGCCACCATAAAAAAAAACCGAAAAGAAAGAGAAAGAAAACAGACATTCATTTCTTTTAGTGGTCATCATTAGAATCGCACCAAACTTTTGGATAAAAAAAAATACTGCACAGGTCTTCCACATCTACAAGGTAAATCATCCCTTTTGCAATGGACGGAGCTCTCGTCTCCATTTGTTCAACATGCATCACTAAAGCTTGAAGGCACGCTGGCCAAGGAGAGCCCTGTTCTTTTGTCATCTGAACTCCAGTGTGCTGCTATCGGGGTGCAAAAAAAGGACAAAAATAAAGCCAAGCCCTTTTGCAGCACACCAGGAAAAGGTCATTCGGAGACCACAGTACTTGGAAGGCAGCCCAGCTGCCTGGATTCTACTGCTAACTGTGCTCTTGGAGGCATTGAAGGAACACACTTGCATTTTAAAATGACACATAAAGGCAAATTTCTGCAAACCCTTTCTTTTCAAACTGCCTAAGGTAGACTAACACTCCTCGAAGAAACTGGTCCTTCAGTCACCAGCTTCAAGTGGGAAATTTCCTACCTGCTGTCTTAAACACTGAAGCACCAGAGATTATAGGGCTGATGTGTTTGGGCATTCACCAGCTTCAGAGAAACTTAACATCAGGAAAGAAAAAAAAAAAAAAAAAAGGAAAAAAGATGAAAAGAAATCCCCAATGCCTCAAGAGCACTATATCAAACCAGAACTCTTGGGCTACTGACTGCCGGCACTGTCAGAAGCTGCTCGCTTCTGGGAAGACACCTGGAGGTTGAAGCCTTATGGTGATCTGGTATCCTCCCAGGGTGAGATTTGCTGAGTTTTATTGATTGCAAGATAAAGCAGTGTTTCAAAAAACTAAAACCAACAAACTCTTAATAACCATCACCAAAATCACCATTGGAAAAATTCCATTTTTAAGAAGGTCTCATTGAGAAACATCAGTCCCTGCTCCATGGAGCAGGGCAGATACAATTAACAAAACCCAGAGTGACCCGTCCCCCACAAGCTGGGCCTTCGAGGTCTAGTCCCCATATTATATTGGAGGGGAGAAAGAAAAATAAACAAAAAAAAGAAGGTTGTATCACCTTTTCCTCCTGTTAAAGTTTTAATCCTCTTATTCCATTTTTATTTGTTTTTTTTCCCCCGATTCTCCCTTCCACTCCACCGCCTTAGCTGGGAGAGTTATTGGTACAAGAGTTTGGAGAGTCCTGCTCATTTATTGTGTTCAAGAGTACACACACCGGCTGCCGGGGCAGGTGGTGGTGGCTGTGTTCGCGGTGCTGCTCCTCCGTGGCACTGAAAAGCCCTTCCTCCTCATCCCCGTGGGGACGGCCGCTGCAGCTGTCGCAGAAGTCCAGGGGCCCGTCCAGAGCGTCATCGATGAGCCCGTCAAACTCCTTGAGGTCGTCGTCGTGATGACCCCGGTTGCAAACGCACACTTCTATGCCCGAGTCGCCGGTGAAACGGCGCTGCCTGCCCGGCGTCTTGTCCTTGGCGTCGGGAATGGCACTGCTCTGCTCTAAGCTCTCAGAGCTGTAACCTTTCAGCAGTTCCTCCTTGCACTCCGTATCCTTATCGGGACCGGCCCTCTCCACCAGCTCGGCTCCTGTGCTGGTACTGCAGGGCTCCATGCTTTGCATTTTGGCGACGGCTCTCTCGCCCAGCACGGTGGTGGAGGGCTCGGGGTCCCCGTGGCCGGGCGCCCCGGTGCTGTCAGTACTGCTGTTATTGCTGCTGGGTGCTGCAGAGCTGCTCTGTGCTGTCTGCAGGGCTCTGGGCGTGTCCGGGATTGTGCTACTGCTGCCTGCTGGGACACACTGCTGATGTAAGGCACTGTACGGGGGCGGGGGGGTCGGCGGTCGGTTCACCACTTCCTCATAGGGAGGTAGCAGATAGTTTGGCAAAAACCCTGGAAGTGGGAGGCAAGGAGAAGAAGTTATTTCAGGAGCAGCTTGTCTCAGGAAACGAGTCACTAATACAGGTCAGTATGGCAATTGTCACCTGCCAGCACCTTCCCACTGAACAGCACAACAGGCTCTACAAAAGGGTGCGAGAACTTGTCCCAGATGAGGCGTATCATGTGTCAGAGAAGCAGCAAACAAAGCAGAGGAGGGCACCATTACAGGAGGAGATGGACACAACTGGGAACAGCAGCCTGATCTCCTGGCTCCCTCTATACCTACCAGGCAAACCTCCCTGGACTATGTACCCCAGCACAGCCCCATAAACAACACTGGGGGATGGCCTGTTGACTGGAGAGAACAACTCCCCAACCTTCTCCAACACTACCTTCTCAGCCAAATTTTCACTTTCAAGAGCAAAGATTTCGTCTCATAAAGTACTGTGCAAATATGAAGAGACTTGAGCAGTTGGAACTTGGAGATCTGGCTTTTGGTTGCTGTTTTAATGCTGGATTCAATTCTTCTGGTGCAGTCAGAATAAATTGACAGTACTGGCAAAAGAGTTTGGCTTATTGTACTTACAGCCTTTCAAACCCATGAAAAATTTTGTTTATTTCTTAAGAGGCAACAAAATAGTCTATATAGACAGAATGTACTTAAACACTGGAAAACATTTAAGGATAGCACTGCAATTTTCCATGTGCATTTGCATATCCCTGGGGCTGGGGAGGAAAAGGCTGTTGGGGATGATTTCTGAGGTGACTGCCAGAGTTTAAAAAAAAAAAGCAAGTTCATACACACAATTCAACAGTCTGTCAGGAAACTCAGCTGTGGTACCTCCAGTCAGAAGAGGACTTACTGTTCTAGCACAGCACAGCAGAACTAAGGAGAGCACAAAGTGATTGTACTTTCCCTGAGTTGTAGGCAACAGCTCCTTCATGCAAAGTCCTAGGGCTGCTCACCAGTAGTGTGGCCTGGGAACCACAGCACAGGGTGGGAGCCAGCAGAGTCTCTGCCGAGACTCCACTTTCTCCCAGTCTGTGTGATCAAATTTTGTGAAGTCACTTCCCACACCTCAGTCCCACCAGCAGCAAGTCCGCTCTGGAAAGGAGGAATATCCACAAAGTCCTGAATGAGGTATTTTAAGAACCTTTGCAGAAGAACACCCAGGGAATCACCACACTCAGGGGTGGTGTGAAGGTGCTGTAGTTGGTGTGGTCCAACTCCAGACTCAAGAGGGCTCAAATGCATCCAACACCATCTTCTCTCTGCACACCATGGTTAGGCAGCAAAGCTGCCCACAGCCTCTTGCTGACCCCAATTACTGCTCCCTCCTTCCACCTAACGCGGGAAACTCGCTGCTGCCATGCTCCCCACAGTCTCCAGGCACTGCAGGGTGAGGTACATACGGAAATAAAAGGGCAGGGCTGAGTAGTTATGGGCCTCCCGGTAAGCGATCAGGTTGATCTCGTGCTGCCGCTGCTGCGCCTGGAGGCGGTGCTTGGTGCGGCGGTGATGGCAAACACAACAGCAGCTGAGGATGATGATGATGGTCCACACCAGCCAAAACCCTGCAGCAGAGGAGAGCAAGTGTTAGCCATTGTGTGACAGCTGCATCCAAACCCAGGAAACCCCAAGAAGCCAATGGAGAAGATCATCTGAAAGCCTGGATCTGAACCTGCATTGCTCTGAAGGCAGAAATATGTGTTAGGCCAGGAGGCTTCAACACTGACCTTCCTGCCTGTGTGGGACACTGCCACTCCAACAGCCTTGCCAGAAATGAGTAACTCTGAACACACTTTGGTACAATGTGAATCATGTTCAATAGGTACAACTCTGGAGAAGAACCAAATATGGAGACAGGGCTCCCCCCTCCATTGCTCCTACCCTTTGGTTACCATTTCTTCTAGCCAAAAATGAGCAGAGCTGTGAATAGCATTGAGCTTGCCTCCCACAGCCACTTCGGTTTGAAAATAACAATCAAGACACAAAAGACACTCTGCAGATTGACCACAGAAGAAGAGAAAAACCCCAAGCGCTATGTTTTGCTTTTGTTTGCACTGCTCTTTAATTTCCAGCCCAAATCCTTCATTGTTATGTTTAACAAAAACATGCTCTTTTTTCATAAATGTCTCAAAATATTTTTAAAACTTATTTTTGTATTCAAAGTCTTAAATTATCCAAAATTAAATTAAACTAGCCTCCCTCTCTGAATCCTCAAGAAACCTAACTTCTGCTCTGTTTGTGGTCATGGCTGGTTCCTGTGCACTGTTGTACCATATGTACACTGCTCCTTAAAAGGGAATTTTAAAAGACCACTTCCTGAATTTTACCCACGCCCTCCAACATGTGGAATAACTCTTCCTTTCTACCAATTTCTCACTTGCATGCACTACTAAATGTTTCCGAGACACACTTCAAAAAGCTGGAACATTCATTCCAGATTAGGCTTTTGTCTCCGGCAACTGCAGACCACAGTTCGACCTACCCGTAGTCTCTGCATGCTCTATCTCTTTTAAGCTCAGTTTTTGCATCTAAAGATACTGGGACAGCTCTTCTTTAAAAACACATAGGCTTGGCAGCCACTCCTCGCTAGAGATCACAACACTGTTTTTCTTTCTGTAACAGCTCTGCCACTCTTCACTACTCCCAAGCAGTCAAAATGGAGATTCCTAATGCCACAGCCCATTTTCAGGATGGCCAGTCTATCTTGTGGTATCAAACTGCTCTTCTCTCTCCACTAAAAACCTCTAGTCATGCCTTTACAATTCCTTGATATTTTCAGTATCCCCTGCTAATTTCTCTGCTAAGAGCTAGGTGGGGAAAGGTGAACAGTTTAGGAATTTGAAGAATGAAAGGACTATTGCTCTGGCTCAGGACAAAGGGCAATCAATTGCATCATCCATCTCAGAGACCTGCACTGGGCTCTTTGTAGGTGAACTGGATGTGCCATATCACGTCTCTGAGCATTTTGAGTGGGGACTTTCACCTCCCTGTGTCGTAACCCAAATTCCTCATGTATTTTGGCATAGTAAACTGAAATCTCTCTCCTGCCTTATGCAATCTGTTTCCCGAATCAACTGGAACCTGCCTTACCACCAAACTTATCAAAACCTGCTGTCAAACGAAGGTGTTACATATTCCCCCCTCCCCTTTCTTTTTTCTTGGCTGAAAATGAAGGTTCCTGGGTAGTTTCTCTGGCCAGCCTGCTCAGCTGTACCACGACGATCAGAGACGAGCCTGTGATCTTCACTGCAGAGAAGCGAAGGACAAAGTAATCAAGATGCTCTCTGCACTTCCCAAACCAAAATGAGAATGTGGCCACTGACCTCCAAATACCCTCTTGTTTCTAAAAAAAGCCTTTTTATATAAACTAAAAGGATTGATCCAGTCCACCCTTCCCTCCAAAGCCAAACATTTGCAACCATTCCTGTAGCCTCTATCACTGCCAAAATCTTGGTACATAAATGCAATACTTCAACTGTCTCACAGTTTGAAGACTCTCAGCAATAAATACACTTTATTTCTCGCTAAGAGAAGGTCCCTTGGCTCTTGCTTGCTGAGGAAGTAAGAATACACTCATCAAAACCAGGTCATTGGCACAGCATGCCACCATGCACTGAGGCAGGCCTGCAGTTCATCTTCTAAGTACTCCTTATTTTCGAAGAGCAGTCCATGATCATGAGTTCAATAACAATGGAAAATTACACCCAGCTATCCAGGGATTTTAGTGACACTTATGAAAACAGATGCTTTTTAACACATTTGATCATGTCCTTTCCCAAGGAGTCTAGATACAATGGTAGCAAGCAGCACTTAATTAGTTAAGATGTCCTGGAGAGCTGCCACTGTTAAGCAATCTCAGCTGTAGCGGCCAAATATTTCTGCAGGGAATAACTGCTCCCACCCAAGCCCACATCCAGAAGATTAAAGAAGTATTCCTTTAGAAAACTTCTCTACCCATCCCAAAGAAAAAGTCCCAAAGTGCTTTGCACAAAACCTGATGCACAAGCTCAGACTAGGGGTCAGAGTAAGCTCAGCCATTCCTGGGAAGGTGTGGCAACTCTGTTAACAACACGCAGTAACAACATACAACAGCTTAGGATAATAAATTAATGTTGGATCCTACTGAAACCGCAGGTGGCATTTAAGTAAACACACCATAATTTAGAGGATTGCAATCTGGCCTCTGTGCCAGGAACAACACCTTCATTCTCCTGTAAAGGGTCCGAGCACGCTCGCAAATGCGAGCGGATGAGATCTGCTGTTTTTCATGAGAACTTCCAGAAAAAGAACCCACTAATACCACATTATTGCCTGGTTTCATTAACCGCTGACACTTCCTAGAGCTTCTAGGAATTACTCAACCCCTGACTCAGCATGAGCCTGGATGGAGGACTCAGCACAAGCCTGGAGGACTTGCCTGGATGATCACAGGAGATGAGCAGCATGTGCCCACCAGAGCCATTTGATGGCCTGGCCTCTGGCACCCTCTTTAACAGCTGTCTCCCCACCTTGTCACCCAACAGCACATCTGCACCAAAGGGCTGGAAAGCCCCCAGTACATCAGAAGCAACAGGATGGAACACCCATGGGAGCTAAGGCACACGAGGGGCTTCCTGGGTGCCACTTGGGCAGAGGTGCCAGTGCTGGGAAAAGGACTGGGTGCAGCTCTGGTTGCAAGCCTAGCACGGTGCTGGGAGTTCAGGGCCTCCATAAAAAGCTCCACAACACTCCTTGCCAGGAGTTTGGGCACAGCTGTAGTTTTGGCTGCAGAACAGAAAATTGCAAAAGCCTAGAAAATATATAGTATGGTCATTTATTTGGAATAAAGCTATGCTCCAAGGCCAAGTGCAATTGTAAATATTATGTCTAAAAGTATGGAGTAAACAGTGAAGATGTTCATGGCTGAGTTGTGCATTTGTACACCTGGTGGGGCTTGGCTTTAAACCAGCAGCAGGGAGGTGAGCCGAGCAGAGCACTGGCCTATGCAGCCAGCAGCTCATTTGGCAGGAGGGTAACTGCAAATTCACCCAAAGACAACACTACAGGAGCAGGAAACACAGGAGCCAGGCACAGCAGCACACACTAACACCTCCTTCGGGGTAAAAACAGGTACCAATTCTGCCTATTCACCAATTGTGCTGAAAATGGGTAAGAGGTATAGAAGCAACTAAAGTTTGGCGTTAAGAAGCTGCTAAAAGCCAAGTAAAACTGAGCTGCTGATTGTCTTCAATGTCCCCAAAAGCCTTCACTGTTGCCAAATGCCCTCCTCTTGCTCTTCAAGATGTACCTTCTTCCCAAATGGGTAATTTTTTCAGCAGCATTGTGTTGAGCTACCACTGCACTCACTGGAAAAGGAAAAATGGTTGGGAGACACATTCTGAGCCAAATTTGCCATAAAATGTCTGATTTGAGAGTATTTTCCACAGCGACTTGGCAGTGACCACTGGGAACAAAAGCTTGTGGCAATCTGAGGACAGCATGACAGATAAAAACCAGTGACTTTGGAAATACAACTTCTGATGGACAGCCTGAGCAGAAGCAAAGTACCAGTCTGGTACCTGGTAAAACAGGCAACAGGAGACCACTAAGCTCGAAGGCAATTTCAGACTTGCTCTTGGTTTTTATGGAAGAGTCAGAAGTTGCAACACTTTCCAGCCCAAAAACAACTGAGTCCTGTGAAACACTGCTCTACTTTTTGCTAAATTCACTGGTGATGCCTACAGGTGGATAATGATGCAAGCAAAGGTGAAACAGACACAGCCAAGGAGCTGATTATTGCCAAGAGAATTCCCTGCCAGAGCACCAAAACCTTTCATAAAAGTAAAAGAAGCAGCACCAATCTGTAAGCTCAGATGTAAGCCTCTCACAAGCACAAAGCTCAGGAAGTCAGATAGGAGCTGCAGAAACACCTGGGAATGGAATTAGATGGTTGAAAGCCATCCCTCACAACCAGAGGAAATACTGAAGAAAGAGAAGGCTGCTACATTTACAACATTCTTGGGAAAGGGAGACCCATCACATGGTCATACTCCAGAGATGTTTCCTACCAGCTGTGAAACAACATGCTTAAAGCTTCAAGAAAACCCCTTATAGGAGACTAACCATAGTTCTGCTCAAACTTCGAAATAAGTAAGAATAAAACAGTTTAAGAATTAAAAAACCAGAGCACTCCTTTTTCATAAGAAAGGAGGGAGCAATGTTTGCTTTGATGCTGTACTGTGTTTGCTGCCTGGGATGTTGCCATCAGCAGTGCCGTTGAGGGAAGCTCCTTTTATCCTGTGCAAAATGGAAAATGTTTTCTGGAGCGTTCCAAGGGTATGAACAGAGAAATTTGCCCTCAAGTTCATGGTAAACTTGGGCAAATGCCATGGCTCTGTTGGCAGGAAATCCCCTAAAAGCAAGCCAAAACATACTGCAAAGTGCCTTTGTGTCTGCCTGACAAACATCTGGGTAATAGCTTTGACTCCATGAGAGCTGGTTCTGAACAGAAGGAGAAGTGGGACAATTTCATTGACTAAGAAATGTCCCAAATGGTGGCTTCACAGTCAGTCATGGCTGGATAAAA